GAGGGGTGCGATAGTATATCATATATATTCCAGAACCCGAGCACCTGTGTGCTGAATAACCGAACTAACCAATTAATCAATCATCAATGTACTGTCACTTTGAATCCCGATGGTGTCCTTAGCGGTTGTTGCGACAGCATAGACTCTAAATCGGATCCAGCAGGCAAGAAATGAATTGCAAGGCAACGACATCGTTGGAGAGACAAGAAATCTTTTCTGACATCTTCGATTTTGCCGGGAAGGGGGTAAGATTTTTTTTTTACGTTTTTTGTGTCGCCTGCGAAAAGCTATATATGCTATGTCGGCATCGGCGGCGGCGTCCGAACAGAGGTTTTCGTGCGATAACTTGAGGTTCCTTGGGCCGATCAAACTCAAACTTCATGCAGTACTTCCTTACCAAAAGTGCTTGCTTGGGATCGCTTTTCAGGTCCGAGGTCAAAGGTCAAGGTCACTGTTACTATAAATAGAAAATCTATTTTCGTGCGATGACTCGAGTTTCCTTGGGCCGATCAAACTCAAACTTCATGCAGTGCTAAGCATACTTGCATTTTCAAAAACAAAATTATAGATACCAATGAGGCGATGCTGGTCTTGCTTGTGGACACCATATTGGAGTGGAATTGAGACAATGGGTATCCACAGCAAGTTCCTAAAAACTCGGAGTATTCTTCCCAGAATAACAGATTATATAACAAAATGATGCCATCCAAAAATATAATCTATGATTATTGCTTACTTTTAACATTATTTCTTGAAATGAAAAGTGTATCTATTTCTTCGTAATCTCCCAGCTTCCTGCACAGGCGACACATCCACTTCCGTGGAATTCTTGATTTAATTAAGAGCTTAAAGAATTAAATGTCTTTTACCCGGCATTTGAACAATAAGTTGCCTGTTCTAAAAAATACTTCATCTTGATTTAGAATAATAGTCATTAAGTATATTCAACGAATACACATGATATTACAACATAAAATTATAACCATGTTAGCCAGTGGAATTACTTAAAGTAATAGATATTTTATCGAGTGTTGCATTGTTTTAGCGAAATATTTGGCAACTATTGGAATACTGAGAATAAAAAAAAATTGACACCCTGATCCACGAACTCTTCCCTGCGGATAGATTTACCTATGGGAATTTCAACTACCAGTGTGGTGACTAATTCGTTTAATTATAATTAGGGATGTCTGTTTATTATCTAGGCTTCAATCTACGTTTTGATTTTTAAAGGTGACTGACAATTGAACGAAAAGAAGAAACACAAATGCAGAAGTACAGACAATAGCTGTGGGTTTTTGGGGTTTTCAAAATTCACTCTTTTTTACATAATTTCCATTTAAAATCCTTAAAATTCTGACAACCTATATTTTTTTTGGGGCAGAAAATTTTCTTTACTTCAAAGCAAAATAACTACAAAATTTGAAGAAATTCTACCGAGAAATGGCGACACAATCCTAGCTATTACCTTAATTCAATAACTGTTTCAATTGAGAACAGCATTGCTCTTATAAAATTAGGAATATCTGTTTACTTAATGATAACTGGAAGCTAGGCATGGTAAACTTCATAGCCAAGTTTTTTTTTGAAAAATGAAATGATGAAATTAAATTATGGATTTCAAAATTAAATATAAATTGGTAAATCGTGTAAAATGTAACATTAGGGGGGTACATAAGCTGCGAAAGTAACAAAATTCGGAATGGCGACACCCCTCTAAAAGATTTCTGGATCTGCCCCTGATTCTTAATACTAAAATGATGGGTTGAATTTCCTCGGCTGATATCTCCAGCTCTCTCTCTCTTGGGCAGTATCCCATAGACAATGTTTCACGTTACGTATATACGACAAAAAAACTTTCTTGTATCTTGTATCTAATTTAATAAATCCATACAGAAACTTGCCTGGTAAAGCGAATCAATAAAGATTTTTTTTTTTAATATTGGGAATGAATAGGAGAGGGATCTTGACTTTCGCAGTTCTTCCTACTCTAAGGGTAAGAATTCAGAGTAAATACTTTGTAATAGTAGCTTACTTTATTGAAATCATTTAAGGCAAAAGTGACTCAGGCAGATATTAGTTTATGCTTCCCACTAGTGTTTAAAGTCCATTTTTTTGTCTGATAAATTTAAAGTGACAGAAAGTGGGAAAAAGTTTCTGTTTATGAAGTTTAAAACAAATTGTCTTTTGGATTCCTTAAAATCCTACCTTCCTATCCATGCAAAGAAACCATAAAATGGTTGTGACAGATAAACTGTCTGACTGTGGAGAAAGGGTGTGGCCCCTCTGGGGGCAAAGGGGTGAGGCCCAATAGGGGGAATAGAGGATTTTTTTCTCCTATTAATTAAAAGTGAAGGGATTTAAATCAAATGCAGTCAGAAGCATACTTAGGGACAAAACCATCAATTTTGTTTAAACTGTGATGTGTGGGCCCCCTTATTTGGGGCAGATAGGTGGGCCCATTAGGGGAAATAGAAGAAAATATTTATTTGGCGGAGTTATGGCCCCTTGAATAACGAAAAAAGTCATTATCTGCTGCGCTCCGTGCAATAAGTACTTATGGTCAAGATAATAATTATTTATTTGACAATTGTGATACTACCCATTTCAAATTGATTTAATTCATTCAGTCAATTTTCCACATAATTTCATAATTTCTTCAAATAAGTAATCTTTACACTGTCTACTTTATGTTAGATTAGGGGGACGAGGGGTACTGACCCAGGTAAAAGCCCAGACTGTCGGGGCGGTATCAACAAAGTAACAGCTACCATGCATGCCGGGCTCGAGCCAAATAAACAATTATGATACTACCCATTTCAAATCGATTTAATTCAGTCAATTTTCAACATAATTTCATAATTTCTTCAACTAAGTAATCTTTACACTGTCTACTTTATGGTAGACTAGGGGGACGGGGG